AGTGATAGCCGAGGCTATATGAACCACTTCCCCGCCGGCACTCGGATGGTAATCTTGGGCATAGCATTTTATCAAATCACCTCATTCTTTGGGGCACACGTGAGGAACACAAATGCAAACAAGCCTGAATGGTCCCCAGGACTATATACAACTGAAAACTCACACCCCAGAAGTGACTCGAACCCATACTCCCACAACTGGTATGTACAGGGACGCCTTAATCCGCTTGACCATCACGACCGGACATAAGGAAGTGATAGCCGAGGCTATATGAACCACTTCCCCGCCGGCACTCGGATGGTAATCTTGGGCATAGCATTTTATCAAATCACCTCATTCTTTGGGGCACACGTGAGGAACACAAATGCAAACAAGCCTGAATGGTCCCCAGGACTATATACAACTGAAAACTCACACCCCAGAAGTGACTCGAACCCATACTCCCACAACTGGTATGTACAGGGACGCCTTAATCCGCTTGACCATCACGACCGGACATAAGGAAGTGATAGCCGAGGCTATATGAACCACTTCCCCGCCGGCACTCGGATGGTAATCTTGGGCATAGCATTTTATCAAATCACCTCATTCTTTGGGGCACACGTGAGGAACACAAATGCAAACAAGCCTGAATGGTCCCCAGGACTATATACAACTGAAAACTCACACCCCAGAAGTGACTCGAACCCATACTCCCACAACTGGTATGTACAGGGACGCCTTAATCCGCTTGACCATCACGACCGGACATAAGGAAGTGATAGCCGAGGCTATATGAACCACTTCCCCGCCGGCACTCGGATGGTAATCTTGGGCATAGCATTTTATCAAATCACCTCATTCTTTGGGGCACACGTGAGGAACACAAATGCAAACAAGCCTGAATGGTCCCCAGGACTATATACAACTGAAAACTCACACCCCAGAAGTGACTCGAACCCATACTCCCACAACTGGTATGTACAGGGACGCCTTAATCCGCTTGACCATCACGACCGGACATAAGGAAGTGATAGCCGAGGCTATATGAACCACTTCCCCGCCGGCACTCGGATGGTAATCTTGGGCATAGCATTTTATCAAATCACCTCATTCTTTGGGGCACACGTGAGGAACACAAATGCAAACAAGCCTGAATGGTCCCCAGGACTATATACAACTGAAAACTCACACCCCAGAAGTGACTCGAACCCATACTCCCACAACTGGTATGTACAGGGACGCCTTAATCCGCTTGACCATCACGACCGGACATAAGGAAGTGATAGCCGAGGCTATATGAACCACTTCCCCGCCGGCACTCGGATGGTAATCTTGGGCATAGCATTTTATCAAATCACCTCATTCTTTGGGGCACACGTGAGGAACACAAATGCAAACAAGCCTGAATGGTCCCCAGGACTATATACAACTGAAAACTCACACCCCAGAAGTGACTCGAACCCATACTCCCACAACTGGTATGTACAGGGACGCCTTAATCCGCTTGACCATCACGACCGGACATAAGGAAGTGATAGCCGAGGCTATATGAACCACTTCCCCGCCGGCACTCGGATGGTAATCTTGGGCATAGCATTTTATCAAATCACCTCATTCTTTGGGGCACACGTGAGGAACACAAATGCAAACAAGCATTTGCATTTGTGTTCCTCACGTGTGCCCCAAAGAATGAGGTGATTTGATAAAATGCTATGCCCAAGATTACCATCCGAGTGCCGGCGGGGAAGTGGTTCATATAGCCTCGGCTATCACTTCCTTATGTCCGGTCGTGATGGTCAAGCGGATTAAGGCGTCCCTGTACATACCAGTTGTGGGAGTATGGGTTCGAGTCACTTCTGGGGTGTGAGTTTTCAGTTGTATATAGTCCTGGGGACCATTCAGGCTTGTTTGCATTTGTGTTCCTCACGTGTGCCCCAAAGAATGAGGTGATTTGATAAAATGCTATGCCCAAGATTACCATCCGAGTGCCGGCGGGGAAGTGGTTCATATAGCCTCGGCTATCACTTCCTTATGTCCGGTCGTGATGGTCAAGCGGATTAAGGCGTCCCTGTACATACCAGTTGTGGGAGTATGGGTTCGAGTCACTTCTGGGGTGTGAGTTTTCAGTTGTATATAGTCCTGGGGACCATTCAGGCTTGTTTGCATTTGTGTTCCTCACGTGTGCCCCAAAGAATGAGGTGATTTGATAAAATGCTATGCCCAAGATTACCATCCGAGTGCCGGCGGGGAAGTGGTTCATATAGCCTCGGCTATCACTTCCTTATGTCCGGTCGTGATGGTCAAGCGGATTAAGGCGTCCCTGTACATACCAGTTGTGGGAGTATGGGTTCGAGTCACTTCTGGGGTGTGAGTTTTCAGTTGTATATAGTCCTGGGGACCATTCAGGCTTGTTTGCATTTGTGTTCCTCACGTGTGCCCCAAAGAATGAGGTGATTGATAAAATGCTATGCCCAAGATTACCATCCGAGTGCCGGCGGGGAAGTGGTTCATATAGCCTCGGCTATCACTTCCTTATGTCCGGTCGTGATGGTCAAGCGGATTAAGGCGTCCCTGTACATACTAGTTGTGGGAGTATGGGTTCGAGTCACTTCTGGGGTGTGAGTTTTCAGTTATATATATATATATATATATATATATATATATATATATATATATATATATATATATATATATATATATATATATATATATGTCGTACCTAGTAGCCAGAACGCACTTCTCAGCCTACTATGCAAGGCCCGATTTGCCTAGTAAGCCAAGTTTTCATGAATTAGTTGTTTTTCAACTACCTAACCTACCTAACCTAACCTAACCTAACTTTTTTGGTTACCTAACCTAACCTAACCTATAAAGATAGGTTAGGTAGAGTTGGTTAGGTTCGCTCATATATCTACGTTAATTTTAACTCCAATAAAAAAAAATTGACCTTATACATAATGAAATGGGTAGCTTTATCATTTCATAAGAAAAAAATTAGAGAAAATATATTAGTTCAGGAAAACTTGGCTTATTAGGCAAATCGGGCCTTGCATAGTAGGCTGAGAAGTGCGTTCAAGGCTACTAGGTACGACATATATATATATATATATATATATATATATATATATATATATATATATATATATATATATATGTCGTACCTAATAGCCAGAACGCACTTCTCAGCCTACAATGCAAAGCCCGATTTGCCTAATACGCCAAGTTTTCCTGAATTATTATATTTTTTCTAATTTTTTTCTTATGAAATGATAAAGCTACCCGTTTCATTATGTATGAGGTAAAGTTTTTTTTATTGGAGTTAAAATTAACGTAGATATATGACCGAACCTAACCAACCCTACCTAACCTAACCTAACCTATCTCTATCGGTTAGGTTAGGTTAGGTAGCAGAAAAAGTTAGGTTAGGTTAGGTTAGGTAGGTTAGGTAGCCGAAAAAACATTAATTCATGAAAACTTGGCTTATTAGGCAAATTGGGCCATGCATAGTTGGCTGAGAAGTGCGTTCTGGCTATTAGGTACGACATATATATATATATATATATATATATATATATATATATATATATATATATATATGTCGTACCTAGTAGCTAGAACTCACTTCTCAGCCTACTATTCAAGGCCCGATTTGCCTAATAAGCCAAGTTTTCCAGAATTAATATATTTACTATAATTTTTTTCTTATGAAATGATAAAGCAAACCCTTTCTCTATGTATGAGGTCAATTTTTTTTATTGGAGTTAAAATTAACGTAGATATATGACCGAACCTAACCAACCCTACCTAACCTAACCTAACCTATATTTATAGGTAAGGTTAGGTTAGGTAGCCAAAAAAGCTAGGTTAGGTTAGGTTAGGTAGGTTAGGTAGACGAAAAAACATTAATTCATGAAAACTTGGCTTATTAGGCAAATCGGGCCTTGAATAGTAGGCTGAGAAGTGCGTTCTGGCTACTAGGTACGACATATATATATATATATATATATATATATATATATATATATATATATATATATATATATATATATATATATATATATATATATATATATATATATATATATATATATATATATATATATATATGTCGTACCTAGTAGCCAGAACGCACTTCTCAGCCTACTATGCAAGGCCCGATTTGCCTAATAAGCCAAGTTTTCCTGAATTAATATATTTTCTCTATTTTTTTTCTAATGACATGATAAAGCTACCCATTTCATTATATATGAGATCAATTTCTTTTTATTGGAGTTAAAATTAACGTAGATATATGACCGAACCTAACCAACCCTACCTAACCTAACCTAACCTATCTTTATAGGTTAGGTTAGGTTAGGTAGCCGAAAATGTTAGGTTAGGTTAGGTTAGGTAGGTTAGGTAGTCGAAAAATTAATAATTCATGAAAACTTGGCTTATTAGGCAAATTTGGCCTTTCATAGTAGGCTGAGAAGTGCGTTCTGGCTACTAGGTACGACATATATATATATATATATATATATATATATATATATATATATATATATATATATATATATATATATATATATATATATATATATATATATATATATATATATATATATATATATATATATATATATATATATATATATATATATATATATATAAGAAAAACAAGAAAAAATATTCTATACCCATAAGGATTATGTGTGAAATTAACATGCTAGAAACGTGCATTTTCTAATTTCTTTCTTTTCTATTTAACCAGACTGAGCCACAACAACACGTGGCGGGTACACCTAGTATATATATATATAAATGGAAATGTTCGTTTGTTCAAAATCGCTAATCTCCGAAAGTTCTTCACCGATTGCTTCGAAATTTTCACACAATGTTCCATTCGAATCGTAGCAGGTTTATATATATATATATATATATATATATATATATATATATATATATATATATATATATATATATATATATATATATATATATATATATTATATTGATGTCACGTCTGTGACGGAAATAAACATCCTTTTTTTAAAAACTGTGTTTAGATTTAGATATGTTTATTTAAATTTCGAATTGCTAAGAGATTCCATTTATTTAAATTTCGAATTGCGAAGAGATCGCATTATTGTTACAACTCTGTAGACACTGTACGTGCATCATTTGTCAAATTACATTTTCATCGTTATTTATTACATTTAATGCACAATTTTGTGCATTAAAGAATGTAAATTTACCTTTAATAATGAGTATTATTTACAGACTTTTGGAATTGCAGTGGGGAATCCTTTTTCGCCATTGCTTTCAAACTTGTACATGGAATTCTTCGAAAAGAAATTTGTTTCAAAAATAACTCCTGGAATCATTCCATGGTTTAGATATGTTGATGATATTTTGTGTATATGGCCTTCAGATGTAAACACAGACGAATTTGTAGCCAAACTTAATGACCAAGTCACCTCCATAAAATTTACTATGGAGACTGAAATTGGTAAATGTTTGCCATTCCCAGATGTACTTATTCATAGGAAAGATTTTTCACTAAAGTTTAGTGTCTACAGAAAACCTACGAATAATTTATCTTATGTTCATTATTTTTCAGGGCAAAGATAAAATGTGAAAAAGTCAATTTTTTCTTCAATGTATCTAAGAGCTCTTCGAGTTGTGAGTCCAGAATTCTTAGACGAAGAGTTTAAGAATATTGATTCGATTGGTTTCAAGCTTTGTTACCCACGGAGTTTTTTGGAAGTTTGCCGTAGCAAAGCACGTCGTACATATTATAATAATATATGCAGTGAAAGAATTCGCCCAAAGAATGTGTTATGTTTACCATATATCTCTGGGTTTGAGAATATTGTCAAGGCCTTGAAACTTTTAATATACATGTATTGTTTAGCTACGAAAATACCGTTGGTAAGCTATTAGTTAAGAACAGCTCTCGTAGTGATAATTGTGTCATTTATAAAATACCTTGTAAAGACTGTAATAAGTTCTATGTTGGGCAAACATCTAAAGATTTGAAATGTAGAATATCGCAACATAAATACTCTATAAGACATGGCCAATTGTCTAATGCTTTGTTTGTTCATCTGTCAGGAGAAGCTCACCAAATTGATTGGGAGAGTGCTTCTTCAATAATGAATTGTAAAAGCATCTATAACAGAAACAAAATTGAATCTGCTTTCATACAGATAACAAAAGAAAGTAATTTGAACATTAGCAGCGGTTTATATAACTTAGATCCATTTTTAATAGATCAATTAAAGGGCGATTTAAGTAGGATCATTGGAACACATTTGTCTCACTAATTCATTGTAAATATTTGCTATTTTATGCTATAATTATCCATATGTGTGTGTATATATATATATATATATATATATATATATATATATATATATATATATATATATATATATATATATATATAATATATATTATATATATATATATATATATATATATATATATATATATATATAAATAAAAATATATATATATATATATATATATATATATATATGTAAAACCTAGAAGGGGTACCACCTCTGGTGCAAGTGTAGGGACCCATAGCCTCGGAGAAGAAAATAAAGAGTACTCAGAGAAGACTTTGTGGATCCTCACTGAGCACTTTGATATTTTCTTCTCCTACCACCCCTATTCTTTTGTTAAGTGTGTATATTTATCTAACTTTATTTGAAAATGTCATTACACAAAAAAAGTTACAATATTGATTACATGCAGGATACAAGGCTGCTTGTCACAAGTTGAAAAGCTCCTCCAGCTCCTCAGATGGCGGGCAGGAACCATGGATGCAGTGAGCATTTCCTCTCTGGATTGCCACACTAAAGCGCTGAAAAAGAAAACTGGCAGCTCTAGGGTCTCTAGTTGTTTCGATTAGCTTAGACCCCAACTCTTTCAAAAAGCTAGCAGCACTTTTACCCCAGGCACCAAGTGTCTCTGAGGCAATGGGGACAAAATTGTAGTGGTGCTCAAGGTCTCTGTATTTACGTGACTTGGCCGCTTCCCGGTGATTGGCAGCTTCTTCTGCTTGTGTAGCACTGAAGTCAACATAGGTATTGGCTAAAGTTGAAACGCAAGTGTAGTCCCACACCAACTGTCTACCATTCTTCCAGGGGTTCACCGTAATTCCGTCTGGGCGACCGACAGGCTCATCAGAGTTGCGGGACATTAGGTAACGGGGCTCTCTCTCTGCTGGACATCCGGCTGTGGTAAGGCTTCTCTTAATAATGTCATTAACCTCACCGTGTCTTGCATGCCATCCTCCCGTCCTTTGGCAAAGAAGGCCATGCCGTCCGTATCTATCGGCCTCTGCCTCGCCGCAAATACACCTGTATTCGGTGTGGATTGGGGCAGCGAGGCGGAGAGCCACGGCAATTCGGAGGGCCTGCGGTGTGAGACGGGTGCCGGTTGCTGACATTGGGGTTGCTAATAGGAAATCACCTGCATGGGGAGCTGCTACAGCTCTAAGTCGGGCAGTGTCATGTAGTGTTGTCGCAGCTTCTAGCAAAGTTGCAGCTTCTTGGTCGGCAATGGGGCGATCCCAGCTGGATTGCTTATGGGCTTCAGAAGGCGGTGGTTGGGGTGCTGGTCCTGCGAGAGAGACCCATTTGGTTGTATATATATATATATATATATATATATATATATATATATATATATATATATATATATATATATATATATATATATTAAATAATCATTACTCAGGAGAGCTGTGGGTGGCGCTGGTGGTGAGTGTTGTGGTGTGGGGCGCGACGCTGTGGCTGCTGCAGAGGGCGTGGCAGAAGGTGGCGGGAGGCCGTCGTGTGGACCTGACCTCCTCTCTCCTGTTTGGTTTTGGCGCGCTCCTTCAAAACCTGCCTTCAGACCCCTCCGTCAGCGTCTCTGGCAGGGTATATGTTACTGATAGTAATTTTGTTTGTTACTTCAATGTTAATAGCGATAAACCCGGTTTTTATAACTTATTTAGTTGCATCTCTCTCTCTCTCTCTCTCTCTCTCTCTCTCTCTCTCTCTCTCTCTCTCTCTCTCTCTCTCTCTCTCTCTCTCTCTCTCTCTCTCTCTCTCTCTCTCTCTCTCTATATATATATATATATATATATATATATATATATATATATATATATATATATATATATATATATATACATATATATATACACACACACACTAGCCGTACCCGGCCACGCGTTGCTGTGGCTCAGCTACAGCAACCCGCCCCCCACTCCCGGTCCTCCCCCAGCATTATCCACTTCCCCGTCCCCTATTCCCAAACATCCCCCACTCCCTCGTCCTCCTCGGCTTCCTCACCATTCCCCACTCCCGTCCCCTCGTCCTCCTCACTATTCCCCACTCCCGTCCCCTCGTCCTCCACTCCATTCCATCCTCCCTTGTCCGATGCATTCCCAAATGATCTGATGTTCCCTTCAGAAAATGGGAACATTAAATGATCTGATGTTTCCATCAATGAAAAATAAGTGGAACAGGTATAAAAACGAAATGAAAAAATGAAAAAAAAAAATAAAATAAACTATACTCACGAAATGAACGATATGGTAAACAACACAGCTCAATTCCAACGCAATGTCACACAAAATAATTAAACCAAAATGAAAATAAATAAAAATCTATGAAAATTTAATTTATGAATGTAATCAGAAACATTGAAATTGAATCGTAACATATTAAGTAAGGAGCGAGTTGCTATTATGTGCAACAGATGATGCTGTTTAAAAAGATATGTTTTTACCTGTCAGAGGTGAAGCATCTATATAATAGGTATATGAAAAACACACGTATATGATTAGAACGCTGTGTCAAAATTTCAAAGCAATCTGTGAAGAACTCTTAGAGATTACAGTGTACGTTGCTCTTACGTCCAACAGATGATGCTGTTTATCAAAAGAAGCATGTTTTTACCTGCCACAGGTGAGGCATCTATATAGTAGGTATGTAAAAACACACGCCTATTCGAATGCAACTTTGTGTCCCAATTTCAAAGCAATCGGTAAAGCGGTTTCAAAGATTTCCCTTACATGAAAAACACAGTTTTAAAAAACACGTTTTTTCCCTGTTACAGACGTGACATCTATTTAGTATGCATATAAAAACCCGCTCGGATGTGAATAGAACGTTGTATGAAAATTTTCAAAGCAATCGGTGAAGAACTTTCGGAGATTAGCGATTTTGAACAAACGAACATTTCCGTTTTTATTTATGTAGATATACATATGTAGTAGGCTTCTTTCAGTCTCGGGAGACTATGGAGTTGAGCTCTGGTTGTCAATCCTGCTGCAGCGTCTGGTGTGACTGATGAGGCCTATCCGAGAATGGCAATCCGTCTAACACTGAGCAGAAATAAAGTCTGTCTTCCTGGCTACTGGCTATTCTTTTCTGTCTCTTTGTCTCCAATTTCTTGGTAAGTGACTCCTCAAACTTGGAGAGACCTCTCTGAACAGACTGCCCCCCAGGCTGAACGGTCTGCGGCCAGTGTTTCCTACGTAGCAGGATCGACGTCCAAGTCTTTCAGGTCTGTCTTGCATACGTCATTGTTCTGTAGCTGCGGTTTGCCTGTTGAATGCTTTCCCTGCGTCAGCTGTCCATGCAGGAGATCCTTGGGGATCCTGCCGTCGCCCATTTGCACAACGTGCCCGAGCCAGCGCATTCGTTTCTGCTTCAGCATTGAGTACATGCTGGTGATTCTAGCTCTCCCCAGGACGTTGTTGATTGTCACCTTGTCTTGCCAGGTAATGTCCAAGATATGTCGGAGGCAGCGCATGTGGTAGGCATTCATCTGTCTTTCCTAACAGGTGCAGAGTGTCCAAAACTAACTGCCATATAGGAGAGTGCTCAGGACACAGGCTCTGTGAATCTGGATCTTTGTACACTCAGTCAGCCTATTGTTGGTCCTACTCTCTCTGTCAGTCTGGACATGGTAGTAGATATCTTACCGATGCATTTGTTTAGCTCCATATCAAGAAAGAGGGAGTCAGAGATTGTGGGGCCCAGGTACACGAAGTCGTGAACGACTTCCGAAAGCCTGACAGGCCTCGCTGAAGCGGGTCATGTGCCATTGGAGGTTTTCCATTGAGTGGGCAGTGACTGCTGCGTCGTCAGCAAAAAGAAAGTCGCGCAGACTCCTTAGCCGAACCTTTGTCTTGGCTCCCAGCCTGGCGAGGTTAAAGAGACTTCCATCAAACCTGGTCCAGAGTTAGATGCCTTCTGTGGCAGATCCGAAGGCGTGCTGCAGCATAACTGCGAAGAAAATCCCGAATAGGGTTGGAGCCAGGACGCAGCCCTGCTTTACTCCACTTTGGATGTCAAAGGCATCTGATGTTAAGCCATCAAAGACCACAGTGCCCCTCATGTTCTCGTAGTAAGATCTGATGATGCTGAGGAGCCTGGGTGGGCATCCGATCTTGGGGGAGGATCTTGAATAGGCCGTCCCTGCTGACGAGGTCGAAGGCCTTCGTCAGATCTATGAAGGCTGCTGTACTATGAAGAATGCTGTACCTATGAAGAATCAAGTACTGTACTTTGAAGAAGAGTGGCTGCTTCTGTTCCCTGCATTTCTCCTGCAGTTTTTTGAGGGAAAATACCTTGTCGATGGTAAACCTGTTAGCTCGGAATCCGCACTCTGATTCTTGAAAGACTCTCTCTGCAAGTACTTGGAGTCTCTTCATTGTGACTCTAGCAAACAGCTTTCCCACAATACTGAGGAGGGAAAAATCACTTTAATTGTTGCAGTCCCCCTGTCACCTTTATTCTTATACAGTGTGACGATGTTCACGTTGTGGAAAACCTTAAACTGTTTCCTGGGCTGCATCACGTGCAGGCATTATTCCTGGTCTTATTTGACTAGCGGAAAGGCTTGCCGGACCGGACAACCACCGTTTTGTCAGTGAACTAAACATATTATACCTGGCCAATGACCTGGAACCCATCATAGCCCCTTGCGCAAGTCTCACTGCCTCCACTACCACTCTGGAGACTACCACCAGGACGACCACGAGGACGATTTCAACACAGACTCAAGAACACCCCATGACCCGGGCGGCACAAACAGAGGTAATTCCCTCTCCACCTCCCAACACTCCTACCATCACCATCTCAACAGCTGTACTAGCAGACGTGCTGTCTACAAATGCTAACAGCACCACAAACGCTCCTGAAATAGCTTCTACCACCAATCCATGACACCTGAGCCTACCTAAGGCTACGAGGCGAAAGACGAAAACACCAACTACGGAGGTTACTGATTCTTCAGACGAAGAAATCTTAGTAGGAGCTCCACCGCAGCACCAGAAATATGAGACTTACTCGGTTCAAGACTTTCTCATGGAGGCCACTTCACCAAACGACAACGACATCACGGTTTATCCAAAGTCTCAGGCAAAGAAAAAACGGAGATGTCTTGAAGGTTTTCAGCCCAAAACCACCATGAAGACCCCCATCCACCGCCAGATCTCTAGTATCAGCTATTGATACAGATAATGGCTCCAAAGATCCTCCACTTACGGGCTCTTCTTGAGGTTATCTTCTTGAGATGATTTCGGACCTTTAGTGTCCCTGCGGCCCGGTCCTCGACCAGGCCTCCATCCCCAGGAAGCAGCCCGTGACAGCAGACTAACACCCAGGTACCTATTTTACTGCTAGGTAACAGGGTCATAGGGTGAAAGAAACTCTGCCCATTGTTTCTCCCCGGCGCCCGGGATCGAACCCGAGATCACACAGGATCACAGTAGCACGGGCTCACCATAGCCCGTGCTACTGGAACTTTTTGTTCTGAGTAGCTGAATCTAAAACAACAACAACAATCCTTGTAAGTCCAGTATTGCTGTGTTAGTGCAACATAGTGTCCTAAAAATATCACATTGCTGACGAAACGTCGAAATAATGCAAATGAAAAGATTAAGTGATCTAGTCTTTCTTCACCCCGCTCCCCCAGATAGTAGAAGATATTTGCGTAGAATGGAAAATATCCAAAAGAAAATTAATAATAGTCACACTTTTGTTGTGTTTAATGACATGTGTATTAGAGATTTATAATAGATATGATTTCATATGAATACATATTTAATAGGCATAAACAGATACGAGCACCTTTCTCGTCTCTTAATGACCATTATTCATATATTGATTGTATAAGTGGAACGTGTTTATGAATCGTTCCCTGTCAGTCTAAGCACATAACCAAGAAGATGCTGCACAGAGTTAGGTCAGTATTGTGACTTGGCACAGTCATTTTCACACATGTACCTCACATATAAAACCCCTTGGAAAAAAAACACATTGAATACAGTTAGCAATACATCAAAAATAAGACTTTTGTATTCCTCATATATAATATTTTTGGTTTTGTTTCTTTTGATGCTTTGCCTGTCTACAGATGTTGGTGGGTTGGTGGCTTGTGTCCTGCCTGATAGTCACCACGGGGTTCACCTCGTCTCTGGTGGCGCACCTTACTGTACAAGGAAGGTCCCGGCCCCTGGAGACCTTCCAGGACCTGGTGAACCAGCCTGGCTGGAGATGGGCAACAGATCCATGGATGCTAACAGAAGCAATTGTTGATTACTTTGAGACACATCCAAATCCTGTTTTCAGAAAAGTTTATCACAAAATGGAGGTGAGTTCTGTATTTATCCTATATACATTCACTCGATTGATCTCCAAACTTTTCATATTATATACAAGTAAAATAAATTTATTTAAATTTTCATTATGATTAACAAAGAAGTGGCAAAAACAGATAACGAGAAAAATGAAGAAAGATTTTACTGAAAGATTAATTAAACCAAAAGTTGAGTATCAGTATTTAAATATTATTGTAAACTTAAAGTTATTATGGGGAGGAAATTATGCTGTAGCGTGGGAGTATTAAAGATAAACATGGGACAAAGTGCTTACCTGCGAATAAGAAATTAGACGTAGATGGAGGAAGTATACTAAAAGTCCAATCATAAGAACCTAAGCATAAGTGAAGCTGTATAAGGCCTAATGGCCAATGCAAGGAAACTTCTGTGAATGCCCTCCACACTCACGCCCCTTCCCCTCTCCCCTTCGTCCAGCCCGCAATTTCCCCCTCCTGCCTCTCTCTTCTTCCCCATCCGCCCCCCCCCCATTCCCCTTCCCCTATAGTTAACCAATCTTCATTTCATAAAATATATTATTAAGGAGCAATGCAAATTTAAACTGTGTTTTTAGGAAATATTTGATCCGACGACGAAAAATTATTTGGTCACCCCAACCAATATTTCACACTTTACCAGCATTAAATCCGTGAAAATCGGGTGGGGTTAGTGTAAATAATCTATATAAATAAAAATTGAAATGTTCGTTTGTTCAAAATGGCTAATCTCCGAAAGATCTTCACCGATTGCTTTAAAATTTTCACACAATGTTCCATTCGTATCCAGCCAGGTTTTTATATACATTCTATATAGATGTCACGTCTGTGATAGGGAAAAAACATGCTTTTCAAAAAACTCTGCTTTTCATGTGATTTTCATGTGAGAAATCTTCGAAACCTCTTTACCGATTGCTTTGAAATTTTGACACAACGTTGCATTCGAATAAGCGCATATTTTGATATATCTACTATATACATGCCTCACCTGTGTCAGGAAAAAACATTCATTTTTTTTAAAAACAGTGCCATCTGTTGGACGTAAGACTGTAATCTTACTGCACACTGTAATCTCCGAAAGCTCTTCACCGATTGCTTTGAAATTTTGACTCTACGTTGCATTCGAATAGGTGTGTCTTTTTATTTACCTACTATATAGATGCCACTCCTGTGGCAGGTAAAAACATGCGTTTTTTAAAAACAGCGCCATCTGTTGCACATAATGGCAACATGCACGCTATACTAAACATGTCATGAATTCCATTTCAATTTTTCCGAATGGATTGATAAATTTTATTTTCATAGATTTCAAATTATTTTATTTTTTATTGAATTATTTTGTTTGACATTGTGTTGAAATTGAACTGTGTTTTCTACCAAACCGTTCATTTTGTAAGTATAAGTATAGATCCCACACCTGTGACAGGTAAAACTATACTTTTCTTGACAAACAGCGCCATCTGTTGCCTGTAAGAGCAACACACATGCTATACTAAATATGTTACAATTACATTTCAATGTTTCTGACTGCATTGATAAATTGAATTTTTATAGGTTTTGATTGATTTTCCTTTTGATTTAATTATTTTGTGTGAATTGCGTTGAAATTTGGCTGTGTTGTTTACCATACCGTTCATTTTGTGAGTATAGCTAATTTTTTATTTTTTAATATTTTCATATAATTTAATTGTTTTTCTCATATTTCAGTGATGGGAACATCAGATCACTTGATGTTCCCAATTTTCTGATCTGAAAATCATACCATTTGGAAAGTCATCGGACGAGGGAGTGGGGAATGGTGGGGATGACGAGGGGCCGGAAGTGAGAGATTGTGGGGAGGGCGAGGGGACTAGGGAGGGGATAATGTTGGGAAAGGGTGAAGGGACGGGGGAGTTTGGGATAGTGAGTACGAGGGATTGGGGGAATGGAGAATGGTGGGGAGGAAAAAAGGGACAGGGAAGTGGGACATAGTGGGTAGGAAAAGGGGATGGTGGAGTTGGGAATCGTTGGAAGGCCGAGGAGACGGGTGAGGAGAGATTGGTGGGGAAGGACTGGAGGACAAGGATGGTTGCTGTGGCTCAGCAACGCACATGCTTTGCTGAGCCACAGCAACGCGATTCCGGGTACTGCTAGTTAATAATATTTTATAAATCAGTTAACTTTTGCCTACCCCGACTAGACTAAGACCATTCCCCTTACAAATTTGGGTACGGTTAGCCTCAAGCATGTTGTGCTTGTCCGTCTGTCTATCCAGCTTCGGATAGACAGGCGGACAAAAAGACACATTACCTTTTATAGTATAGATATATAAATAAATATAGATTAGCAGATACGTATAACAAGAGAAAATTACAAGTATTACAAGAGAAAATATACGTCTTCAATTTATTTAACCAGAAGTTGTAGAGTTGTGGAAAATATCCACCTAAGATAGAGCAAAGTATGCCTTAGGTATAGCAGGCAGCCTCCCCAAGAACAGATAATATTTAGTCAGCAAAGCAAATGACCACAATTTTGTGGTGTCCCAAACAAGGGAGGCGTCTTAAGGATTCCTTACTAGGATATTTAAAGTAATACCAAGGGTCATTTAATTATCATGATAATACTCTAAAATAAATACATATAAACAATAAATGTTTAACAAGATTCCAAGACAGAACTATATCAACACAAGTCTTCCCCAGGAGGCACAGATAACCACTATTATACCAGACTGATAAGTTTGTTGTTTTAGGTCTTTTATGTTGTACAGTAGTTAGTTCTTTGAATTTTAAAAATATGTTTATCAAGAGAGTCAAATAAATCCCACAGGAGTCAATACTTCAACATCAGTGCTAAAGTAAAGGACACATAGTAACTAAAAACATGAATAGGTAGTTAAAAATGTTTATGAATCAACCATGACTAGAAAATCCTAAACTAATATACAAAGCAAACAGCAACATTATACACCAGTTAGAAAAGTAAAACGTAAAAGACTGAAGTATATACTTCAAAAAGACGAATATCAGCGTGTAAAAAGTTGATTCAAATACTCAATAGCGTTCAACTCTGGCCTCATTCTCGCTAATTTCAAATAGTTTATGACCCGACCATAGATGGAATGTTTCTAATAAGTAAAAAAACATTGTTTTCAGTTGGCATATATTAGTACCTAAACTTGAGTAATATAAACCTAATTCTGTAAATGTAGATTTACTGTGAACTTAAGTAGGAAATTAGTAATTATTATTGAGTGAAGAAAGACTTATAGTTTTCCTTTATCTCCTAAGTAAAAGTCAAATATAAATGTTTGCAATTGAAATATGAATCTAACGTAACCACACATGAGTGATCATTGAACAGAGAGAGAGAGAGAGAGAGAGAGAGAGAGACAGACATACAGACACAGACAGACATACAGACTCAGACAGACAGACAGACAGAACCCGAACCCTGCAATCCCAGAGGGTAGTGCGGAACCTTCCGCAAGCAGTTCAACAGCCCCAGTGAGAGGAGCACCACACCCACCCTCCACCCAATAGAATTCCTACCTGCGCCAACCCCTGCCAGCCCCCCCCCCCACTAAGTGCCCACAAAGAATACCCTCCCTCCATTCCCCACTCTACCCAAGACCTCTCTTCTTCCCCACCCCCAAGTCCTCTCTTCTACAAATTCTCCCCCACAAGCCCTCCCTTCTCCCCATTCCCCCAAGCCCTCCCATCTCCCCCACCCCAAACCCTCCGTTCTCCAACCACTCCCTCCCTAAGCCCTCCATTCTCTCTCACCCACTAAGCCCCTGTTACGGCCTTAATGGGACACAACCGGGTTCTTTTCTGGTAGTACTAAAGTTCTGGTATGCGGCCCCAAGTTAGTAGAGGCTTTCAAGGGGTGAGCTAAGTAATGCAAGTAAAACAAAAGGGGAGGTACATTAAATACAACCGTTCATCATCACCTTATCCATATATATTTATTTTCTTATCACCATTATATATATATATATATATATATATATTATATATATATATATATATATATATATATATATATAACACTAAACACTCGGCGAGGCTCAATCGATGCAGTCCTGTAACGTGTTTTCTCATCCGTGGTACTACTGTCAGCAGGTACCGGGAAACAACAATGAGTCTACCCTGGCCACGGGCCAGCCAAACCACAATCACACTAAGTGCCTCTTCGTGATGGCCCACAATCACAGTCCAGCCTGGTGCTGGCAGATACCAATCAGCCTCACGCTGCTGGGGCCGCAACTCGCTGGTTACTCTCCTCTTTCAGCACCTTAGTCAGTCGTCTCTTCTATTAACCAGCCCCGGGTACGGCGAATCCCGTCATTGCCACTCCACAGGCAGACAGTAGGACACTTCACATCTCTCTTCTGGCGGCGGCTCACTGCTTCCTCAAAGCAGACTGGTGTAGGGACCTTGGCTGCCCTGGGTAGACTGCCTCTCCTTGTATCACAGCAGCCCTACGTTGACTCTGTGAATACAGACACGTCACCAGTACACTGGGACACTACATGGGACCACTAGGAAACATCACTTACTGGCTTAGACACATACATCCAACTCTGCTTATGACAGATGGCGCTGCTTTTCTAAACACCACCTCACTAGAGGTCAGCACCAGCTACCTCGCAAGCCGACTAGGACAGGAATCTAGCGCCTCTAGCTGCTATATTCCCATCATCACTAGATGGTATTGTCCATGTTGTGGGGGGTTTCGGGAGCGGACTCACAGATGGCGTTGACGTCGCTTCTCCATGCTCCGACGGTAGAGTCGAGTTCGTAACAGCCCCTCTTCTCCCCCACCCCTCATGCCCTCCCCCTCTCTTCTGCCTCCCAAGCCCCCATCCCCTCCTCTCCTGCCCCCCAAGCCCTCTCTCCTCCCATACCCTCCCAATAGGTAGAAAATAATAATAATAATAATAAAAATACCCTCCCAAGCCACCCCCTCTCCTTCACCCCCTCAAGCTTCCCCCTCCCCTCTATCCCCCAAACCCTCTCTTATAGCCGTCCCTTCTCCCCCACCCCATGCCCTTCCTCCTCCCATACCCCCAGACCTCCCCCACCCCTCAAGCCTCCTGCTCCCCTTTCCCTCCCCAAGCCCTCTCTTATAGCCCTCCCTATTCCCACACCCCCAAGCCCTTCCTCTTCCATTACCCGCAAACATCCCCTCTCCCCATCCCACCCAAGCCTCCCCTTCTTCCCCACCCCCCAAGCCTTCCCCTCTCCCCTAACCCCCCCCCCCACCCCTTCCCAAGAATCCCCCTCTCCCCTATCCTCCCCCCCAAGCCCTTTCTTATAGCCCTCCTTCCTCCACCACCCTCGCCATACTAGATCCTCCCAGCCCCCTCATACCCCAGATCCCCCAGGTCCCCCTTCCTAGGCTCTTCCATCCTAGACCCTCCCTGTTTCCCTTCTTCAGGGAAACAACAGAAACTTAGGAAGGATAGAGGAGCGTCAGTTTCAAGGTGATGTACTCGAACATATATGGAATTACAGGAAAGGCAAGTGAACTAAGGGAAAGAGCACAAGAAGTGAACCCAGATATAATTGGACTCACAGAAACCAAACCCTCAGGAATCATAACGAATGCGGTGTTTCCTCACAACAACACTGTAATAAGGGAAGGAAGGAAGGAAGGGGAGGAGGCAGAGTGGCCCTGCTAATGAGAAAGGAATTGAGCTTCAATGAAATGGTTATCCCAGGCTGTGAGGGGTTCAGAGACTACATAACAGGCACCATGACGATGGGAGGACCAAGAGCAGTAGTAGAGGTGATATATAACCACCAAATGACAGAAGACCCAGGCAAGAGTATGATAGAAACAACATGGCAAATAAGAATATAATTGAGAGGACAGACTCTGTTACCTGTAGTAATAGATCCCATCTGCTCATTATGGGGAACTTCAATCACGGAAAGATAGACTGGGAGAACAAGGAACCGCATGGAGGTGAGGATACATAGAGAGCTAAACAATTAGAGGTGGCAACAGAAAAAGTTTTAAGCCAGCATGTCAGGGAACCCACAGGAACGAGATGCAACGATAAACCAGCGAGACTGAACCTAGTCTTCACTCTGAACAACTCAGACATAAGGGAAATCGGTTTCGAGACCCCAGTAGGAATGGGCGATCACAGTGTACTGACGTTTGAGTACCTGCTCGAAGAAGTGTCAATGAAGTCAAAGAAGGGACCTATAAACAAAAGCCTTGCATTCCGTAAAGGAAACTATGTGGAGATAAGAAAATTCCTAACAGATATAAACTGGGGTAACAGAGCTCAGGGGAAAGATGGCCCGAGACATGATGGACTACATCATTCAGAAGTGTGAGGAGGCAGCAGACAAGTTTGTCCCGGTCCTAAAGGAAAAAAATGGAAAGAAATGCAGATGAGAAACACATGGTTTAATCAGAGATGAAAGCTAGCAAAGCAACTAAGTAAAAGGGCGTAGAGAAACTACAGAAATAACAGGACACTTGAGACCTGAGACAGATAACAGTGGGCCAGGAATGAATATGTCAGGGTGAGAAGAGATGCAGATGGGCAATACGAAAACGACATAGCAAGCAAAACAAAGACTCAACCTAAATTGCTACACAGCCACATCAGAAGAAAAACAACAATGAAGGATCAGGTAATGAAACTGTGGATATGGGGAGACAGATTCACTACAAACGACAAGGAAGTGTGTGGGGAACTCAATAAAAAATCCAAGAGGTCCTCACATTAGAGCAAGGAGAAGTTCCAGAGATAAAAGAGGGAATAGTTAACCAGGCACCACTCGAAGAGTTTGGGATTACCAGTGGGGATGTAAGGAAGCACTTGCTAGAGTTGGATGTGACAAAGGCTATATCCCCAGATGGAATCTCCCCTTGGATCCTAAAGGAAGGAGCAGAAGCACTGTTCCTGCCTCTCTCCATTGTGTATAACAAATCACTGGTAACAGGTGAACTGCCAAAAATTTAGAAGATGGCTAATGTAGTCCCGATATAAAAGATGGGGGAATAGACAGGATCACTGAACTACAGGCCAGTATCCCTAACTTGCATTCCATGCAAGCTGATGGAGAAGATTGTGCCAAAAAAATAGTGAACATTTGAAGCAAAGGACCTTTCTGTCACAACATCAACTCGGGTTCAGGGATGGCAAGTCCTGCCTCACAGGATTAATTGAATTCTATGACCAGGCAACAAAAATCAGGCAAGAAAGAGAGAGGTGGGCAGACTACATATTTTTGTATTGCCAGAAAGCCTTTGATACAGTACCACACAAGAGACTAGTGCAAAAGCTGAAGATGCAGGCAGAAGTGAACGGGAAGGTACTCCACTGGCTAAGGGAGTACCTAAGTAACAGAAGACAGCGAGTCACTGTGAGGGGTCAGGCATCAGAGTGGCGAGACGTTTCCCGCAGGGTTCAGTCCTTGGACCCATACTGTTTCTAATATATGTAAATGATCTCCCAGAGGGTATAGAAGCGTTCCTCTCATTGTTGGTGATGATGCAAAAATTATGAGGAGGATTAAGACGGAGGAAGATAGTATGAGGCTACAAGATTACCTAGACATACTGAATGAATGGTCCAACAAATGGCTACTAAAGTTCAATCCGAGTATATGTAAGGTAATGAAACTAGGCAGTGGAAAAGAGGAGGCCAGACATAGGATACAGAATGGGAGATGAAATTCTTCATGAAACGGCCGGAGAAAAAGATTTAGGAGTTGATATTACACCAAACCTGTCTCCTGAAGCCCACATAAAAGGAATAACATCTGCAGCGTATGCGAAGCTGGCTATCATCAGAACTGCCTTCAGGAACCTGTGTAAGGAATCATTCAGAACCTTGTATACCACATATGTAAGACCAGTCCTGGAGTATGCGGCCCCAGCATCGAGCCCGTACCTTGTTAAGCACAAGACGAAGCGGGAAAAAGTTCAGAGGTGTGCCACTAGGCTAGTCCTGGAATTAAGAGGCATGTGTTACGAGGAAAGGCTGTGTAAAATGCACTTCGCGACACTGGAAGACAGAAGCATAAGAGGAGACATGATCAATACCTACAAAATACTCAGATATTTTTACATTTAGGATAAACTGTTTAACACGGGGGGTACGTGAACAAGGGGACACAGGTGGAAACTGAATACCCAAATGAGCCACATGGACGTTAGAAAGAACTTTTCAGTGTTAGAGTAGTTAACAGATGGAATGCATGAGGCAGTGATGTGGAGGAGGCTGACTCCATACACACGCGGAACCAAAGAGCTAGAGCTCAACCCTCGCAAGCCCAACTAGGTGAGTACAGAGAGAGAGAGAGAGAGAGAGAGAGAGAGAGAGAGAGAGAGAGAGAGAGAGAGAGAGAGAGAGAGAGAGAGAGACAGACAGACACACAGAGACAGAAGAGTGAGAACCGTAGTATACATTGTCAGGTGCTGAAGGTGGACGAGGCACTGAAGAAGGTACTTGCGGGGGGAATCTCCTTTATTGGTTACAAGAACTACGTCACCATCATCGTGGAAGGTCGCTACACGGACGCGAGGGGCAACAATCCCTTCTTCATCAGCAACAAGGCAGTTCCTGTCTTAGCTGCCCTTGGCTTTGGCATCAGGCGAGTAACCATTCTAAGTAAAGTCGACTCTCGGTAAGCACAATTTTCTTTGGCCCATCATATTACATTTTGGTAATTCTGATAGCTAGAATACGTTTTAATATATAAATATTTGTTTTAATAAATAATATTCTTATGTGAAATTTAATTTTACATAACTATTTAATAAGTAAAATATTAAATATGTAAAATTTAATATGTAATAAAAATCATGTTTATAACAATGTTTGTTATAATTTTTTATATATATACAAGATTGAAGATAAATTAAAATTAATTTAATTTTATGTTAATATTAATTTTTTAAAAGAAAGGGAGCTCCATTTCACCAGCGATTCAGCCAGCTAGTGACTCGCTTGACCGACGCTGGGATTATCAGCTATTGGACTAAAGAAGTAATTGCTCGGAGGGTGATGGAGGAGAGGACGACTGCCCCGCTGAACCACGAGACTCTCCGGGGAGAAACATCTCTGGTAAAATGGAGCTGGATTTCATGAAACATAAATCAGGTTGAGAGAGAGCGGCTTTATACTGAGAAGTTACTTACAAATTACTTAATTCTCTACTTCTGTGTTATTAGCAAGACCCTCGTTACGTTGTGATTTGTTCTATATTCGATTCCCAGGATGACGGGCAGCAGGTGGTGTTGAGCCTCAACCATCTGCAGGGAGCCTTCTACATGTTGCTGGTGGGCTCCTGCGTCGCCTTCCTCACCCTGCTGGTGGAGAACCTCGCCCACTGCTGCTCCTCGCCTCAGTAACACCTTCCTCACCCTGCTGGTGGAGAACCTCGCCCACTGCTGCTCCTCGCCTCAGTAACACCTTCCTCACCCTGCTGGTGGAGAACCTCGCCCACTGCTGCTCCTCGCCTCAGTAACACCTTCCTCACCCTGCTGGTGGAGAACCTCACCCTGCTGGTGGAGAACCTCACCCACTGCTGCTCCTCGCCTCAGTAACACCTTCCTCACCCTGCTGGTGGAGAACCTCACCCACTGCTGCTCCTCGCCTCAGTAACACCTTCCTCACCCTGCTGGTGGAGAACCTCGCCCACTGCTGCTCCTCGCCTCAGTAACACCTTCCTCACCCTGCTGGGGGAGAACCTCACCCACTGCTGCTCCTCGCCTCAGTAACACCTTCCTCACCCTGCTGGTGGAGAACCTCGCCCACTGCTGCTCCTCGCCTCAGTAACACCTTCCTCACCCTGCTGGGGGAGAACCTCGCCCACTGCTGCTCCTCGCCTCAGTAACACCTTCCTCACCCTGCTGGTGGAGAACCTCGCCCACTGCTGCTCCTCGCCTCAGTAACACCTTCCTCACCCTGCTGGGGGGAGAACCTCACCCTGCTGGTGGAGAACCTCACCCTGCTGGGGGAGAACCTTACCCTGCTGGGGGAGAACCTTACCCTGCTGGGGGAGAAAATTAACCTGCTGGGGGAGAGCCTCACCCTGCTGGGGAAGAACCTCACCCTGGTGGGGGAGAACCTCACCCTGCTGGGGGAGAACCTCACCCTGCTGGGGGAGAACCTCACCCTGTTGGGGGAGAACCTCACCCTGCTGGGGGAGAACCTCACCCTGCTGGGGGAGAACCTCACCCTGCTGGGGGAGAACCTCACCCTGCTGGGGGAGAACCTCACCCTGCTGGGGGAGAACCTCACCCTGCTGGGGGAGAACCTCACCCTGCTGGGGGAGAACCTCACCCTGCTGGGGGAGAACCTCACCCTGCTGGGGGAGAACCTCACCCACTGCTGCTCCTCACCTCAGTAACATCCTTCCCTACATTAGAAGTTTAAATTTAGTTGAAAAAAAGATAGTTGGTATATAGTAATTTATGACGTAATTTTGAAATTATTTTCTAATCTTATTAATAAGAAAATGTAGTAATAAATTGTATGCAAACATATATTTATATTTTCTCTATCCTCTGTTCATAATTTTGTTAACACAAAAATATAATATGTGTTTATGAAGGATAATAACTGGCTTTGAATTGTAAAACATTTTTTATTCTGTTGTTATATATAAATATAATCCTGTGACGAATCTTGTGAATAAGCAGTATATTTTTTAACGAGTTTGCCTCATTTGCTTAAAAAGGTTAAAGCTTTACTGCAGATGTATAACTGTAGATTATACATTGTTACTCGTTCAACAGCAATGGTATGTTGCTTGACATCTTCAATGGGTTTATAAATGGCTATGAATTAACTTTGGAAAACAATTAAATAATATGATTAATTTAAAAAAAAATTATATAGTTTACGGTGTTGACTGATATAATTTGAATAGATATGATAAACACCGGAACAAATTAATACAATAAATTAAGTTTGCATTACATTCATTATTAACAATTTTCACGGGATATTTAATTACGAACTCTTTAAATAACCAAGATTGACAATGAATTAAACATATTTCAGAACTCTAGATCGTAACCATGAGATTCTGAAGAGAAATAAGTCTTACACAAAAATATTTACAGTTATGAGTAAATATAAAATAGACTTAACTCCACAAGCAACAGGAGCACCAGGAACATGATAGTCAGTGCGCATCGTCCCCCGCGCAGCCTCCCGCCTATAAATACTTGAGGCTGCTCCTGGTGTTGTCATGTAGTCTTCAGCCGCCGTCCCTGTTGGCTCCACACTGGTAAGTTGAATATTTTTCTGTTCATGGGTTTTCAGGTGCGTAGCAGTAATGTAAGTTTTGTTATTGTAAGTCTGCATTTCGGAGTGAGATTTTGTAGGAGAAAGAATTAGGCAAGAAGTTTGGTTGAGAAGTGACATAGAATGTGTTATTGAATCCTGGAAAAAATTGGATAATAATAATATACGCTTCATTTTTATAATTATTAAATACATTTATGAATGACAAGGATTGATATTGTGCTAAAGTATCAGTTAAAAGTGAAGATGCATTGCTCTTTGTTGAACAGTGGCTTCTACTTCTCCCTTTGTTTTATCTCACTTGATATCTCCCCATGCCCGACATTTACCCGTCTCTCTATTTGTACCTATCTGTTTAATATTTGTCTGTAATTATTATTCTATATATCACACTGAAATTCTCATTCCATTCCCTTAAACAATAAACATAATTTGTTTTATTGATATTATTAACAGAACACAGAATTATTTCTAAAGTGATCGCATACAAAATCGTTATAATTTCTAAATACAAATATTAAATACAGACATGTAAGAAACATGGTTAGTAAAAACATGTCAGTGATATTTTAATTTTGCTGAGCATAGCTTAGTGCTGAAGGCAATTTGGTAATTATTTGTAATGAGAATATATTACTATTTAAATTGTTAGGTTAGATAACGACATTGCCAATTTTAACCGTTTTCTTGTTATTGCGTTCGATCACTTCCGTGCGAGTAGCAGATATGTAATGACTGATCGAATTGTCATGATTATATTTATGAAAATCTCTAATGATAGTCTTTGAATGTACAGATTTTCTTCTGAAATGTGAGTGAGATATTCATGAATATTTAAAAGCCTCGAACTCGTAAATACTGAGCCGGCAATGCCGTAAAAATGTTTTCATTTTCATGAAATCAAATGTTACTTTAGTTTACAGCTTCAGAATTACATTAATCATTTTTAAGCATTTCTTAAGCCGAGAATATTTACATTAGATAAACTTTCTCACATCCACTTCAAATTCTTCCTGTCAATAATAATCCTGTTCAACAGAGCCGGCCACGATGGAGCGACCATTCCTCACCAATCCTGTGGTGATCTCTAACCGCACCAGGATAGTCTGTCTCTGGCTCCGTGGCATGTCAGCAAGGGAAATATCCTCGACTACGAGGTTCAGCTTATCCACAGTGTACAGGTGGATCAGACGGTGGTATGAGCAGGGATCAGTGCTCACAAAGCCCTACAGCAGAAGACGACGCTCAAGTCCACACAGTGGTGAAGCTCAAATACCTTCCATAATTAAGCCACGGCCTCTTAAACTGACTACGAATGTCGTTCCCACCTGCCATTATTACCAACATCTGAAGCCAATAACACATTTTTACCATCAGATTGCATCTCAAAATTGCTACCAAATGAAGTGTACACAATGACTACTATGGAAGACAATACAAAAAACTTATACAGGCATATAACTCCGAAAATTCTAATTAGCGTAGAGAATATATCCAGATGCGCCAGTTTCATACTGCACAATCAGATAATTTAGTAATTCAAACAAATTGTGAATAAAATTTGTTTCAATTGATATATTTATAAACTTCACGACAAATTGGCAAGAGGTGAGGAAGTGTTACCCATGACATGAGACCTTATTCCCCCATACTTTTTTTAAGGCGCACTGGGATTCGCTGAAAAGGAAAGGTTTATGTCTGGAATCATTCCAGACTAGCAGTTGTTAACAAACTTCGTGATCGCCAACAGTTGGCTCTCAGGAGCTTCGCTGAGAACTGGGCTTGCAATCTCAGTGGGTAGTTGAGGACTTACACCCGTGTAACATATTGCAAAGCCTGGCAAAAATGACATTATTGTTTTGTATTACTTTTGCTCACGACGAAGTAGTGGGAATTAGACCAGGTGGCGTGCGTCCGGAGAGTCAGGTTCACTTGCTGCTCTGCCAGAAGGTGACAATATGTCTGGGTGCGAGTGCGTCTTCACTGGTAATTACCCTGAGTGGCCCCACTGAGATCGTTTCTTCAGTGTGTTTTCTCACCTGGGCTGCTATTTAACGTTGTCACCGTAATTTGTATTAGATCTGCCTGACTAGTCTTTGCGTTTGTAGATAGGGATGTTAAAGCGGCGTAGACATGGGATGTCAGCATGGAGTAGGTAGAAGGAGTGGGGGTGTCAGTACGCAGTAGACAGAAGGAGCGGGTTATCAATATGGAGTAGACAGAGGGAGTGGGATGTCAACATGGAGTAAACAGAGGGAGTGGGATGTCAGCATGGAATAGATAGAAGCGAGAAGTCAGCGTGGAGGAGGCAGAAGAATTGGGATGTCAGTGTGGAGTAGACAGAGGGAGAAGGATGTCGTCATGGAGTAGACCG